GGGGGGTAACCAACCTTTTAATTAGTTGATACTCGCTGTTTTTTGCAGGACCTCTTAGCTAATCCAAAATGCTCTTTGCTTGTAGCAAAAGATCCTGAGGATAGGACTGATTTAATTATAACCCTGCATGGTGATGTTGTTTCTGTATGTTAATGACTTCTGATTTTTGGATGATGTGTCATTCTGATCTCGATTGCTGCTTATGTTAGTCTATTCTCAATGCATTCTATCCCCCTTTGGGTAGAAATAATTTTCTAAAATTCAAATATTTTTTTAACATTTATTTTTGTCAAATTAGTTTATATTTTACCAAATTAAAGATTTGGCCCTTGAAATTAAGCAATGATATCTTAAATTGTCTTTATTTGGAACAAGATTCAAAATTCAGAGTCAAATGTGTCACAATTGAAAAGTCAGGGACCAAAGTGACACAAACTCTAAATTATAGGGACTGTTAGTATAATTTGTCCTAAAAAATATTACTGTCACATCTCTATGACAATTTTTTTTTTAATTATTTATTTATTTTTTTTTTATATAGCATTTATGTTTGCAAACTATTTTTCAAATAAAAAAGTGTGAATGGAAGAAAAAATGGAAAAAGACCACAAAAAGCAGAAATTGTTCACATTATAAATTGTAGATTTTGACTCCCCGCAAAGCCAACACGGCTAATGAAGGCCAAGCGTTTTCACACGCGTACCTCCTTTTCATTCTTTTCCATTCAAATTGGTTTTTGTTTTATATTATATGATTTTTTTTACTATATATTGTGCGTGCAGAAGAGTGACGAGAAAGAAAAGCCAAATCAAATTCAACCCAAATCATACTCCCTCCGTCCCAAAATAATAGTCCCTTTTGGGGAATCCAACTTTTTTTAGTAGTACAATTATTGTATTTGAAAAAAGTTGATTTTCCAAAATTATCCTTTTGATAGTACATTTTTTGGGAATATCAATGCATAATTGTACTTTTTATGTTGTTTATTAATTTAAAAGAAGGGTAAAATAGGAAATTTATATTATTTTTGTACTTGATTTTTGAAGAGGGACTAATATTTTGGGACAATGAAAAATGGAATAAGGGACTAATATTTTGGGACGGAGGGAGTAACTAATTTATGGTCATCATCATATATTAGTGATCCCAATATATTTCAGTTTTGATATATCATTAAAAAAATGTATAAAATACTTTCACAGCAACCCAAATCTCAATATCAAGATGATCCATCAACGACAACTTCTAATGTTCCTTCGGAGTTCCTCTCTCAGGCAGTGTTTGCAGGAGGTCTCTCTCTCTCTCTCTCTCTCTCTCTCTCTCTCTCACACACACACACACAAATATGCGTACATAATGATTAATTGTAGTTTGGAGTACTGAAAGCAGTTCCATTTAATTGCAGAGAGTTTCTGGGGTCTTGAAGCTGCATATGGACGTGTCGACGGAGTTGTCAAAACTGTTACAGGTTATTGCGGAGGAACCCTCAGAAAACCTACATACAGAGAGGTATATATCTCTATTATCAGCGTCTCCGAAGACGACTACAGAAATTAATTACCTGTCAAAAGAAATTTTAAATGCTATATATATGTATGTATTTTCACACAGGTGCGTGAAGGAAGAACAGGGCACACTGAAGCAGTGAAAGTCACATACGATAAAAGGAAAACATCTTACAGATCTCTCTGTGACGCATTCTGGGAAACCCATGATCCCACCAACAAGGACTTTCTTGTAATTTCCTCTCCTGTTTTTATTATATTCATCATTCCAAAATGATTTTGAAGCAATTTTTTTTTTTTTTTTTTCTTTTGATGACTTTGCTCAACTAGATATGTTGATATAGGTTGGATGTGTTTTCCAATGGAACACATACTAAACCTATATTGTGTTTGATAGTAACATTTTACTGTCTTTCCTTTAAAAGGTAGTAAAATTTTATTGTCTTTTAAAGTAAAGTTTTACTCAAAACCTTCACTTCTATTGAACAAACTCAATTATAAATTCTTTTACATGAAACCAATCAAAAACATTAAAAAAACATATTAAAGTGTCAAATTGAACTAGAAAGCAATTTAGAAAAATTGGATAGAAAAACCATTCAACAACACAGTAAAAATAGAATGTTATTACAAAAGTACTACATTATTTTCCTACTTTTATTATAAAACAATAATGTCTTTCATGTGTGGACACCCCATTTTGACCAGCCCAAAGACTTGGGTGCTTTCTTTCGATTACCCAATGATGAAAATCAGAATGTGTTTCTTACAAAATCCTCAGTAAGAGAGATGGAATTTGAGCATTGTTCTCAACCTTAAGCCTATTTTGGTCAAGTATTTGAGCCCCTTTGAACACTTGGAGCGAAGCTGGACAAAACCAGAGCGAAACTAGATTGAGTGAGCAAAATCGGGTGAATTTTTCTCTAGCCGGTCGTCTGTCCAGTCGACTGCCCCAACACAGATTTGTCCAATTTTGAGTTGGTTCGGGTGGGGCAGTTCCCAAACCCATTTTCTGACCCATTCATGCATTGCATGCATGTATACTCACTCTCCATTACCTAGTGCTTGATCTATCGAAGCTAATACTCCAGTTTTGTCTTCCATTAGTGCTCCGTTTGCTCCATTATCTTCATTAATGCTCCATTCTTGTCTTCCACCATTTCTCTGCATGCTAAGCCTATATGAATACATCAAATTGTTGAGAGGAGGAAGATGGTAGATTGAGTAGAGAACGCTAGAGATATAGAAGAAGAGAGTTTAAGCTTTAAATTCAAGAGTTAGCCAAAATTAAGTGTTAGTTGTGAACTTCCATTTTCTTAAGCTATACACCATATCTCATCTCCTTTTGCAAAAGTCATCCAAGTCATGTTATTATAGTTAAATTCTAGAGCTTTGATCAAAGAGAGAATAGTCTTGCTAAGTTGAAGAAAATTAAAAAGTGATCATACACTTGTCCAAAACCATCATTCTAAGCTGAAATTCCAAGCTCTTGAATTGAGGATTAAGATCATAATTCACAACCTTGAGGATAGTCAAGAGGAAGTCTGGAAATCAATAAGTTCATTCTCTCTTTGGAAGGTGAATTTTCAATTCTTTCATTTCTATTTCAAATTCATTTTCATGCTTTTGTTTCATATTGTTTTGTTGTAAAGTGATTGGGTTTCAATTCCTTCATCTTCTTGTACTTTCTATCTTATACTTGCTTTTTTTACGTTAATTTCATATTAGTTTTGTTGTAATCTAACCGAAAGTTGTTAGTTGAGCCACCTACATATTCCTTGTTTGTTTTTTTCTCAGTATTCCTACAAAACAAGTTTTGTTAGGTCTAGTTGGTCAGCCGACCAAATGGACTTGCTTCTTTTGGATAGAACGGAGTAGTCTTCCGGCATTGAGCATACCAACTTTCAATGGTCTTCAAGGTGTTAGAAGCCATTGTTTTTATTTTCATTTGAGAGTTTTGCGAGGTTTTCATTTTGTTATAATATTCACTCTCTCTCTCTCTCTCTCTCTCCCTCTCATTTGGTTTGTAATTATTCTTTCAAGATTTTTTATAATTTTCTGCCCCGCTTCTTTCTATCCCATTCTTTTACTTGATTTACTTATTTGTGCATAAGCATCATTTTTTTTTTTTCATCAAATCCATGCTTTGCATCCATGTTTCATGCATCTTGATTTGACTAAGTTTGCATTTGTGGATTTAATCAATTCCTATGTGATTATGTGCACTACATCATATTCTTGAGATGATTCACATGTCATATCTTAGAAGCCGAATTTTAAGTTGCATTCATGTGTGAATTGCATTAGGGTTCTATATATGAGATCATGAATATTTCCCTAACTTTGTTTTGTAGCTATTCACGGGATGTCGGTAAACACGTAAGTTTTTATACTTTAGCATCCCGCTTGTGTGTGTTTTCTTTCTATGTTTAGCATTTTACCATGAGGCTACTTGCTTACTTGATATAATTGTATGAATGTCAGTAGATGGAGGTTTTGTCGCTTAATTTGGAATGATATTGATTTTCATGTTTGTAAACTCAATTTCTTTGAGTTGTACGTCTCCAAAACTCTTTCAAACTGCATGAAATCAAGTTGTTCCAAAGTGGGTGGCATAGTCTATATTTGTACGCTTCACATAGTAACTTTTAGGATTTATTTAATAACCGAAATATGAATTTATAAAGTTAATAAAACTCATATCATGGTTTAGTAGAGGTCGATCTTTGATCGGGTGAGTAGGGGTGCTTAATTAATGACATTCCCCTCTCATACCTAAGGTTCCGAGCCAAGCATCTAACCATTTTCTGATCCATTCATGCATTGAATGCATGTATACTCACTCTCTATTGCCTAGTGCTTGATCCATTGAAGCTAATACTCCACTTTTGCCTTCCATTAGCTCCATTAGTGCTCCATTTGGTCCATTATCTTCATTAATGCTCCATTCTTGTCTTCTACAATTTCTCCACTTGCATAGCCTATATGAATACATCAGGTTGTTAAGAGGAGGAAGATAATAGATTGAGTAGAGAAGGCTAGAGAAAGAAAAGAAGAGAGTTTAAGCTTTGAATTCAAGAGTTAGCCAAAATTAAATGTTAGTTGTGAACTTCCATTTTCTCAAGCTATACACCATATCTCATCTCCTATTGCAAAAGTCATCCAAGTCATGTTATTATAGTTAAATTCTAGAGCTTTGATCAAAGAGAGAATAGTCTTGCTAAGTTGAAGAAAATTAAAAAGTGATCATACACTTGTCCAAAACCATCATTCTAAGCTGAAATTCCAAGCTCTTGAATTGAGGATTAAGATCATAATTCACAACCTTGAGGATAGTCAAGAGGAAGTCTGGAAATCAAAAAGTTCATTCTCTCTTTGGAAGGTGAATTTTCAATTCTTTCATTTCTATTTCAAATTCATTTTCGTGCTTTTGTTTCATATTGTTTTGTTATAAAGTGATTGGGTTTCAATTCCTTCATCTTCTTGCACTTTCTATCTTATACTTGCTTTTTTTACGTTAATTTCATATTAGTTTTGTTGTAATCTAACCGAAAGTGGTTAGTTGAGCCACCTACATATTCCTTGTTTGTTTTTTTCTCAATATTCCTACAAAACAGGTTTTGTTAGGTCTAGTTGGTCAGCCGACCAAATGGACTTGCTTCTTTTGGATAGAACGGAGTAGTCTTCCGGCGTTGAGCATACCAACTTTCGATGGTCTTCAAGGTGTTAGAAGCCATTGTTTTTATTTTCATTTGAGAGTTTTGCGAGGTTTTCATTTTGTTATAATATTCACTCTCTCTCTCTCTCTCTCTCCCCCTCTCATTTGGTTTGTAATTATTCTTTCAAGATTTTTTATAATTTTCTGCCCCGCTTCTTTCTATCCCATTCTTTTACTTGATTTACTTATTTGTGCATAAGCATCATATATTTTTTTTTTTTCATCAAATCCATGCTTTGCATCCATGTTTCATGCATCTTGATTCGACTAAGTTTGCATTTGTGGATTTAATCAATTCCTATGTGATTATGTGCACTACATCATATTCTTGAGATGATTTACATGTCATATCTTAGAAGCCGAATTTTAAGTTGGATTCATGTGTGAATTGCATTAGGATTCTATATATGAGATCATGCATATTTCCCTAACTTTGTTTTGTAGCTATTCACGGGATGTCGGTAAACACGTAAGTTTTTATACTTTAGCATCCCGCTTGTGTGTGTTTTTTTTCTATGTTTAGCATTTTACCATGAGGCTACTTGCTTACTTGATATAACTGTATGAATGTCAGTAGATGGAGGTTTTGTCGCTTAATTTGGAATGATATTGATTTTCATGTTTGTAAACTCAATTTCTTTGAGTTGTACGTCTCCAAAACTCTTTCAAACTGCATGAAATCAAGTTGTTCCAAAGTGGGTGGCATAGTCTATATTTGTACGCTTCACATAATAACTTTTAGGATTTATTTAATAACCGAAATATGAATTTATAAAGTTAATAAAACTCATATCATGGTTTAGTAGAGGTCGATCTTTGATCGGGTGAGTAGGGGTGCTTAATTAATGACATTCCCCTCTCATACCTAAGGTTCCGAGCCAAGCATCTTTGTTTACGATGAATAGCGGCCTTGGCATGAGTCATGGGTTTCTTAATTTTTCCAAAAATATTAGGTGGCAACTCTAAGATCTGGTGATGTAGTCCAATTTTGGCCAAGATTTTGTATTAAAATGGATTTTCCATAAAAGTTGTCCAATCTGGACTCTCATCTATGTTTCACATTGCACTCGTGAGACTAGATCAAAGAAGCCGAGAGTCCGAATTGTTTAACGCAAATGGGTACCCCCTGGGCATGTTATATTTTATGGCGACTCCACTAGAGATATTAAGAAACCTTGACTCGAACTCCATGAGATGATTTTTATTTTCAATTATATGTTCATTGCATTGCATGCATTAGTGCACTTAAAGTCCCTGTGTTGCCAAATACTGGAGGGTGCACAGACAAACTTTTTTTGATACTATACATATATGTACGTTACTTTTGAGGCCTTGTGTTATAACCTTTTGAGATCTGTCAAAAATTTAACTCTGCTATCTAAGGTTCTCGGACTTCGAAGAGGGGCTATATTGACTCATCCGACTTCTTGGGATCTTCATTGGTTTTGACCCAAAGGACTCTTTGGTAACGTCACCTTGACTTTAACCCCCAGAGTAGAGCCAACCTTGTACATATAGTGAGCTATAGTACCTTCCAAAATTAGGATATAATGCTCTCC